GGACAACTTTGGCCTTAGCCACTGCGCTGGCTCCCTACAACTATTATATATTTGTATTGACGGTCCTATAAGAACCAAATTTGACGGTGATTTTAAATAAAAAAACGAATCGTTTTCTTTACTTACCGGTGGCATGGTGGGTAAATAAGGACAACTTCAGGGGCAATTTATATGACGGACAACAGAAATTAATTTTCTTTATTATTAGGTAAAGATTGATAGTGACGGTAACGGACGGGACTGACTAGGCTTCAAGTCGGATTCAATTTGTCAGCGACTTTTGCTTGTACGGTATTAATTGGGACGGCTAGCTTAAGATACCGCACAAATGCATAGACAGACAAGACAATGGTTGAACGTTGGCCGATGGTTGCTGCGCGGCCTGGGCAATAACTCGAATCGTGCGGACTTGGAGTACGTACCTAACCATGCACTGAGAAAACTGCATGTACTAAAGTATCTATCTCACCCAACCAAAACTATCTCCGCAACAGCCCTGTAATCGTGCCAACGCCGTTTCGCCAGGATCGCATCAGGCGATTGGAGGAGGCGATCGGGATCCCTTGCGCGCCGCCGGTGACGCCGCCGGTTCCCTCTCTCTCCGTCGGCCGCTCCGGTGGCGGGAGGGAGGGGGAACCCCGGGTCTGTTCTTTAGGTGGGCGTGTGGTAGGGTTAGGGTTGAGGGAGACGCTGCCGAGGCCGTTGCGGTAGTGTCGCGTCGGAATAAATTTTTCCGGGCTCCGTTCACGGTCAGGCGAGGCTTTTGCCTTCGTCTAGGAGCCAGCGGTGTTGGGGATCCCCGGATCTTGTCGAGGTCGCGGGCTATGGTGGTTGGAGGTCCATTGGCACTGGCCGTTTGGATCCTCAGATGGGCGATGGATGCAGGGAGACGAAGACCTTTCTTCTTCCTTATTGGTATGATTTGTTGCTGCTGTTCTTCTCCTTCCTCTGCGCTGATGCTGGTGGGAGATCCTGCTTTGTCCGGGCAGATGGCCCGGCCGCGGTGCTGGACCGGTCGGATGACTCGAGTTCTCTTCCTTTCGGAAGGGACACTTTTCGCGGTACTCAAAGCCAAAGATGGCGACGACTGTTGCAGGTGTGTTGGATTGATGTCCATGCCCTCTCAGCGATGGTGTCAAGAAAGGAGGGAGCAGTGTGGCGGCAATTATACCGTGGTCGAAGATGATGACCTGTTTGCGACTGGTTGCAGATTCTTCTGCTGCAGGGATCTTGTCTCAAGATTCAGGGATGATGACACAGGGCTCCGGAGATCTTCTTGTGTTATGGTTGTCTTAGGGTACTCTAGGTGTTCATGGTCCTTTGTGTTTGCGTTTCAGTGTGCTTGTAAGAGTCAACTACTTTGTACTGATTCGTAATTTGAATGAAGAATTTCTCAAAAAAAAAACTGCATGTACTGGAGGGACGACGTTTTCGCTCTCAGGTCCAAGTGCTCTCTGTATCTTGTACTACTGTCCTGGTTATTACCAGTA